GAGTGAAAAATTGAACTTGGTTTGCATATTTTGAAATGTAATGTACTCTTTTAATTGCATTTGCATGATATCCGTCCTTTCATAAGAGCCTTAATAGGAGTAATATTTGCTACCCAAAAGGTATGTCGACATTGTGTTGTTCAAAGATAACTTCTGAACTTTTTCAAATAGAGATTGGTTTCTTAAGTTGTACATACATGAAAATAAAAATGAATACAAACCTGATGTCTTCTGGTAGTTATACTTTTGGTACAGATGGACCGATGCACTTGAATGCCGTTCAGAATAGTTTGATTTGGTTTCGTTGCTCTTGTACCTCTCCTAACCTTCAGGCTATGGTAGCTGAACATGAGGGGGGTGTATGTGGCTGTTCCACATGTACTTTCAAACTTTCTAACTTCCTGTAATCTAAAATAAAATCCTATTAGTGCCTGTGTTTTTGTGGTGGCCTTGTGCCTGTGTTGTCTCTTAGTATGGTATAACACAATGTACGTTGATCCTCTATTAAAGTATATCACTGTTTTTCTGTTATTCCATACCTCTGGTGTGTTACTAACATAAAATACTTTGGAACTTAACTCTCGGAGACTTAGAATAGTAGGGACCAGGAGTGTTGTCATTTTAGCTGTTGATCACTAGTGGACACGTGAGATATTCTGCTTGGAGAGGTGCATGTCTGAAGTGAATGCTCAGTTTTCCACTTTATTTTTTTTCTCAGGATGGCCCCCTAGCAAGAAAGGAGAGACAGTGAGGAGCTCTGGAAGGCCAGTTTATCCTGGCATTGGCTGGTAGCAGTTCTTTGAGCTTCACAGTGACTTTTGATAAAACCTCTTTTTCAGGTGAGGCACCTAGACCAGGAAGAAGGAAAATAGAAAATAGCTGGAAACAGAGACGAGCATCACCTTTCCTTGTCCCCAGTAGCAGGCCAATATAATTGTTGGGTTCACTATGGGATCTACAGTTCTTCCAGACAGCTTTGCTTGGTGGTAGGCTGAGCATGGTCCCATATGCTTACACACTCTCTGTGGTGGTCTGCCAACACTGAAGTCTACTGTTTTCAGGACTGTTTTGGAAGCAGTACCTGCCAACTCTTCTGGAGAAGATGCTGTGTTCAACCCTCAGAACTTTAAATGGTAACAACAATCCTGTCTGCAGAGCTACTCGGTAGTTGTGGTGTTTGTAGCAGGGTTTTATTCTTGCCTGGTGACTGTTCATGCTGTGTGCATTCAGTGTTTCTGGGGTGGTCAGGCTACAGACACCTCTTTTAGGGAACAGACTGGGTTTTTATTTCTACATGGCAGTTTCTTGCCATGAGAAAATGGGCTGAAAAGCCACCTTCATTTGTCTTCTCATTTGTTAATTAGGCAGATGCTGCTGAAGGCCGCAAAATGCCCAGTAAGGCTTCTGTTATTTGTTTTCTTAGAACTGTTGCTTTCATGTTTTTTTAAGATGGCCTGAATTTCTGCATACCTTGATTCTCGTGTCTTTATTCCTTTGTGGTTTTTTTGGTGGGTTTTAGGAGGTTTTTTGTTTGTTTTGTTTTCTGTTTGTCATTTCTGCTTAGGAAAAGAAAGTGTATTGTCTGGAGTGTATTTGAAATTATTTTAGTAATGTTGGACGATAGACACCCAAAGTTGTAGCTGCGATTTTGTGAAGATAGTGCAACACTGGTAGTT